ACTAGAATTGATAATATAAATAGTCTAGTAGATATAATTAAAGGCTTATGATATGGTTAACGTTAATGTTCAGAGAAAATGTTGGACTTTTGGCAATGACTAAGATTGGGAGTCGAAGAGTGATACAAATATCAGCTGCCTTCATGCTTTTTTTCTCCATTTTTGGTATTTTTTTTTGTTATAACCTATAATCGTCCTATGTATAAATGATTTATTTCTGCTTTGTATCTTATTTTTTTTATCAAAATGCAGGAAAGTTTGGAGCTTTTTTCGCGTCAATACCGTTACCAATCATGGCATCTGTTTATTGCATCGTCTTGTGTTTTGTGTGTAAGTCTCTTCATCACTTCACACTTGTACTTTCTATCAAGTCTTAAATTACATTTTCATACAATATATATATATATATTAGTCATTTTCACTGAAAATAAAATCAAATTCAATGCAATGTAGCTTCTGCGGGGATAAGCTTTCTACAATTTTGCAACCTCAACAGCTTCAACACCAAATTCATTTTGGGATTTTCCTTTTTCATGGCTCTTTCAATCCCTCAATACTTTAGAGAATACTACAATGGAGGTTGGCGCTCTGATCATCGCTCAAATTGGGTTAGTACATCATCTTAGATACTTTGAGACATTGCAAACTTTTATTTGCTACTCTTATTAAATTGAGATATATTTTTATGTGAATACAAAATAGTTGGAAGATGTGATGAGAGTGATATTCATGTCACACACAACGGTTGCGGCAATGATAGCGATGGTGCTTGATTGCACATTGAGTCGTGAGAGCGATGAAGCCAAGAAAGATTGCGGGCTAAAATGGTGGGAAAAGTTTCGACTGTACAATCTTGATGTCCGAAACGATGAGTTTTATGGTTTACCTTGCTGCCTCAACAAATTCTTCCCTTCTCACTGAAACCTTCACATCAGTTTTCTTCTATTCTTTTGCCTTTTGAATGTTTTCATTCTTCTTTCTTTATGTCAACCCAGAAGAAGCTTGTGGCGTTTATAATATTCTTACATTTTATTTATTTGGTTGCATCTATTATCTCCGATATTTATAATATTAATAGTTGGTTCGATTACTAAACAACGTTCCTAAAAATGTAAGACATGCATAGAACAATTTGGCCAAAGACAAATGATACTTTATAATTCTCCTCATGGTTTGAGCCTTTGAGGTGTATATATTTTGATACTGTTATCTTTTACTCTCTTATCTATCTGAGACTGTGACCAAACATTGAAAATTGTATGGGGCCGTAACCTCCAACATTTTCACATTTGTTTGCAATTATTTGAAAATTGTTGATAATGTAATAACCGGAAAACAAAAAAAATTTTAGACATTTCTATCAAGTAAAAGCTGCCTTAAAGACAAAATCAAGTCCCAGTTTCATGGTTTGATTTATCATAACAGCTTTGGCATACTAGAGAGTCAACATTGGTGATTTTCTTACCCCAAAGCTAATAACACATTTTTTCTGTAAATATTATCC